TATATATATATATATGGGGGGCACAATAACTCTCCGGAGGGTCCTTTTAAGCTGTAAATAAAGACTTTTTTGAATATTCCACTTGTAGGCTTATTCAATTTGCGACCAAATGCTACTGTTGCTTTAAGTTTTTTTTGATTCTCTTTGTTAGCCGCAGTCCCCTCTCAGCAGAGGCTATAATCTCGGCCTACTCTACCTTCTTGGAGATTATAATTGCCAACTATCGTCTTTTGCGTACATCTCAGATGCTCTACCTTAACCATGTGCCTCAGTTGACACATTCCCGCATTTCACGTCTAATGTCCACTTTAAATAGTATGATTCAATCAATGATAATGTAAGTAGTCTTAGTTTCATTCATGAATATTTTTATAAATTTTATTCTTATTTCTTTTAGTATAATGATAACTAGGCCAATGCATAAGTTGCAATCTTGGTATCCAAAGGGAAGAGGCAGCAGTACCTGTCTATACTGCATTCTAATTATAAATTGCTTCTAGGGCGTGCGAATTGCTTAAGAGGAAAACTAAAAATTTACTGCAAAAGACAATGCTGCCTAATTCTTTATCTCTTGTTAAAATCGTATATTGTAATGTGTTACTACCTATATATGAATAAGAATCATGAACAAGGCACTAACTAGTGAAAGACAACATATATTCGCCTTAAACATAGGTTGTGGATGGATGAATCGCCTTATCAGAGGTGTAACTGCAGACAATAACCGTGCCATTTCATGGGCATATTATGGGGAATTCAGCTATGAATAAAATTTGGTTTTTGATTAGTCTTTAAATAAATTCCTGAACTTTTAGTTTCGTTTGAGAATGTGGTTGGAAGGAATTCGTAACTTCCCTTGGACTTGTGACCTTGAATTTTATCATAGAGGCCCTCGACCGCGTTTTATCTTCCGATGAATCTTTTTTCTGTCATTTTACAGACAATTTCACGACCAGAAACTTTATACACTTTGTGAATACGAAGAATAACTGGGTTTCGATTAATCTCTTTGGATAATATTGTCGCAGAGGCTTTAATTTCGTATGAAAGTACGTCGAGAAGAGATTCAAAGGTCGATCTCACTATAATACTACGACAGATTTCCGTTGTACTTCAGCTTTAATACTACTTCCAGGTTGACAGTTTACGAGATTTCATTTTAATACGAAATGAAAGTCTCCTCAACAATAGCACACACTTTTACACGAAATGCAAATTATCACTACATTGTTGTGCATCGACCCATTGCATTGACTTCTTAATTACTTAACAATATGGGTATGTATGCTTTTAGTCTTGTAAGCTCTAGTATAATAAGGAAACCTTGAGTTCAAAATAAATGTAAAACAATTCTAATTAGGGGCATTTCATTTATTATTAATCTATTTGCTTTCAGGAAAATATTGGATTTTGTGGATGCATCATACCAAATAATTTTGGAATAATACAACTCTATTTTATCTTTTATTTCAGCTGGCTTACTGAGTTGACTGATATCCTTCCTTCTAAGGGATCTTCACAAAGCTCTCGAGTATGGAGAGACTCATATGCTCGTTTGCCCTATCTCGACCTCTCCATTTGCCACTTTTTCAGCAAAATATTGGAACTTCATTCTCTCTTCAGCCCCCAGTGTAATTCGATGCAGACAACAGTTCACCTTGTACGGTCTATCTGGTCCCTTGTTGTCAAGCCATTATTTTTAAACCGCCTCTCTGATGTCTCAAGTAAACCATCGATATGGCGCCTGCGCCTCGTGTATCTGCTCGTCTCCAAACTTTCCTGCGGACTTGCTATGTCTCCTTCATCTTCTGGCAGCTGCAATGACTCTTCGGTTATTAAGGAATTAAATCTTACCGCGCTCCTTTGGCCCGCAGAGCCTTTCGTCTCTCTGGCCCTAGCTGAAGAGAAGCTCGACTTTTGCCACTTGATTCCACTCTACTGGATCTTGTCTTACAAGGGTGCAGCTACCTTGATTGATTTTATTCCGGAAATATCCACAGTTTTTAATGAGTATCCACCTCTTCTTTTCGTGCCATCGTCCGAGGTTAGACTTAATAAACAGCGGGCTCATCTGTTTGACTTTCTTCTCTGCCAATTATGCCGACTTCAGCTACATCACCAAGCTCGAATAGCTTTACCCTTAACGCAGAAGACACACGATTCATATCAGCCAATTCTGCCAGCAGACTTATGTCATCGAGTACTTTTGTCAGTTTGCTTGCTCCGTCTATCTTCTTCCATGGCTCATCCTATCGGAGCCATAGATCTTTCCAAATCATCCTCTATTAAAAACATGGAATCCCACGTGCAGTTACTGGTCGATGAAGTTCTCCAACATCTAACTTCCTCATTGCTTCGCTTCCCATCCACCATTTTAGTCTCCTCTCCTCTGCATAATGCGGCCAAGACCTTGCGGACACCGACTTCCTCCATGAAACCTACATGTCCGCCTTTACGGAAGCGTCGATCGACTGAAGAATCTATCAAGTATCAAAGCTCAACAGGCACAACTGATAACTTAGTTGCAGGCTTCAGAGAGACCCGGTATGATGACGGCCAAAAAGTTTTGAACCTTATTGCCCTTCTCAGGCTCCTTCTAAATAGTGACACTGTTTCCATCATTTATCCTTGCTTCTCTTATGAAAATTTCACCCGGCTTTACGCAGTTGTCATTCGACACCCACTGAATCTATTACAGTTGGCTGAAGAAGCCCAAATTTTAAATATGACCGCTACAAATACTGAACGAAAACAGATAAGCCGTCTAGATATTTTTGATGAAAAATATAGTCCTACTAAATCTTCTGTTTTTTCAACTGATAGTCATCTTAGTGAGAGAGCCTTTCAAGATGAGATAAATGAACAACGGTTGACAAATGCCATTCGCCGAGATATTGAGCTTAGATCCCATCTTCACACCATTCTTTTAAATTTCGCTCTGGAGTGTTCTGTAAAGAAAGACTGCCGTTCTATGATGGAGAATCGGTCTGGAAAGAAAATTGTACAGACGGCCCTAGAGCCTTGTTGCCTTGTCGCGAGCGTTACAGGTCTTCTGGAAGAAGCCTTGTTTATGAGAGATCCGTCCTCACTCTCTACAAACACTACTTTTATTTTATGGATGGTCGAATTGGTCTCACAATCGGCAAATCTTATTGCCCAGCAGAAGATGATTGGGACAACCATGAGGTCGCTAGAAGACGGCGACTGTCTGCCTGGTCTGCTAACGTGTCTTCTGGAGGCTACTCGCCTCGGCTTCAAGCATCAGCTGTCCCGACAACGGCAACTACCAGAAGCCCTTTTTATGCGGCTTCTTTCGGCAGCGCTTAGTCTGGCTGATTGCCTCTATAGGCTTGCATCACGATTACAGAAGAGTGAATTTCTTACTGACACAGCCGGAAATCTAATACGCATGCTTGAGACGGCAATTAGGTTAGGCTTAGATAGATGGCCTGCTCCCTCCGATCAATTTGCCCTGTTGATTATCAAGTGTCTTGATTATTGGATCATGGTGAGTCATTTCAAATACATGTTTGTTAGTTTTAAAGATTATATCTTCTTGGTTGCACTTTAATGTGGGTTAGATTAAAAAGTAGCTTGAAAATTATCACCTGATCTGATTAAACTTTTTGAGTTCTCTGGAGATGTTCCATCGATTACATACTCAAGTCACTTTCATATTC